GATTTCAAGAGTTTTGTAGTAGATCTACAGATGGAATTTTGTGGGTTTATGGTTATAGTTGTGTTTAATATGAGTCATGAATTTGAGCTCAATCTAACGGTTAAATTGAGGGATATTGAGGTTTAAGTGGATCAAGGTCTCAGAAAGTAGAATTTTAGGTCTATTAGGGTTTTTTAAGATTTCGTGTAATTCACTAGTTGGATTGGAGTGAAACTTATGTGAGAGGATATTAGACTTGTTTTTCTATATACATGAGAATTTTGAGATGAATCGAATGGTGTAAAAGAGAGATATTGGCTCTGGAAGATTGGCATTAAGATTGGAGAAGGAGGCCGGCAAATACCTGAGCACATTTTTGAGGTTATTGTCAATTTGGTATTTCCGATCCTTTTCAATTTTTTTGTGCTTGTTTCGAACTTAGTTTTTTAGAAGTGTGCAAGATTTGAGATAAGATCAACGGTTTATTCATTAGTTATTGAGGTTTAAAACTGTTATAGGAATTATTAGGATTTGATTTAGGGTTTGGTTAGGATTTGGTTTGGGGTTTAGGATTTGGACTAGGGTTTGGTTTAGGGTTTAGGATTTGGATTAGGGTTTTATTTAGGGTTTAGGATTTGGAATAGGATTTGGTTTAGGGTTTAGGATTTGGATTAGGGTTTTATTTAGGGTTTAGGATTTGGATAGGATTTGATTTAGGGTTTAGGGTTTGGTTAGGATTTGGTTAGGATTTGGTTTAGGTTTTAGGGTTAGGATTAGGATTTGGATTAGGATTTGGTTTAGGGTTTGGTTAGGATTTGATTTAGGATTTAGGATTTGTTTAGGATTTGATTTAGGATTTAGGGTTTGGATTAGGATTTGGTTTAAGATTTAGTTAGGGTTTAAGGTTTAGGGCTTAGGATTTTATTAGGGTTTAAGATTCAATTAGTTTGGCTTAAAGTTTGAATGAAGTTCAATAGGATTTTAACTAGAATTAAATTTAGATTGAATTGAAATGTATTTGAATGACATTTGTGTTCTTTCTAATATTTCTTTAAAAATTCCTATTGTTTGTTTGAAATTTCTTTGAGATTTTTTTTGAATTTAATTAAGCTTGTTTAGCATTATTATAGTCTAATTAGAGAATTTTTAGTATTCTATTAGAATTAGGGTTTTGTTATTGCAATTTCCATTCTTCCTTCCACAGCCAGGTGCCTAGAGCATTCTCAAGCCAGACTTCACGTATTACGACACTGTCCTCTTGAACTGACTATTCTATGGACTATTAGTTTATTTTACTAATATCTTACAGAAATGAACTAATATCTATTCTACATTGGTATATGCTTGTTGTCTTCTACAAAAAAAATTGTGTTTTGAAATATAATAGATTTTCTTCACATATCTTCATTAGCTTTGCTAAAATATTATTTCTCAAAGATGACGTTTTAAGACATGGTAATATTTTTTATTTGGAGATTATAATATTAAAATGATTTCAATTGGTCTTCATAACCATGCAATACATACTTGCTAGATCTAAGAGACAACTTTGACTATTGCTCTTTTTTGGAAATAAAAACAAATGAATTGTGCCGAAAAGTGAAGAAGAAAGAAAATTCAAGCTTATTATTATTGAATACATGTTCAAATGTAAGCCTTACATTGGCTTTGATAGGAGAATTATTAACAAGAAAATTAGTGATGTTGATAATTTTTGCTCAGAAGGATGCTAGTAATTTAATCTATTGAGCTATACTTTGGGCCCTATTGAAGATAGTTTAGTTTTTTTCTTAGGACACCATCATATTCTAATATAAGTATAATAGTGAGTTGTCTTATAATATTATTTTGTATGTAGAAGTCTTTGAATTTTTTAAAAAGGTATTTCTATCTATCTATTTATAATGATTTGATCTTCTTGCTTGTTTATTTTTTTAATGTATCCTTATACTCTTAAAACTTAAAGAAGAAATTTGATTTTTTCTTTAAAAAATAGAGCTATGATTTTTAGAAAAAAAGTGTTAATTGAGATCATGAAGTAGCAAAAATTACCTTTTGATATTTAAATGATGGATTTGCAGAGATCTGAGTAAATTACTTTGAGAATTTGCTTAGTTCAAAAGTTGTTCTTTTTTTGATAGAATTATTGACTTTTTCATCTCTTTTCATAGATCTTACAAATTACTATTATCAAAAGTAACTTTAATAATCTAATTATCAAATTATTATGAGATTATTTGATAGAGGCTTTTATATTTAATATGGCCTAGTCATCTATACTAAAATTACACTTGTTTGTTTTACTCAACAAGGAGTATATTACTCAAATTGATGTTGGTTGTATTTGTTAGTGAGAGATATTAAATTTTAGATTCATTGTCTTTGAAGCTGCTTATAACTACTAGTAGTTTCAGATCTTTTATGACTATGAGATATTGCTTAGCATTGAAGCATGCAAGTAGACCAATGTTTATAAGTTCTTCTACAAAGAGAAGATTTTGTATTATAATTAATATGTAGAATATATCAGTAATTATTCTTTTTCTTCTTCTTCTCCTCGATGCATGTTGAAATTTCTTCTTTTTTATATTGGATATAAATATACACTAGCTGTGCATATTGAAATAGAATTATTTCCACATTGAAGTTGGTTGAATAATTTAGGATTCTTGATAACATATTTGATTGCTTTGGTGTCAAATATCCATGTTTTATTGTTAAGAACAAATATTGTTAGTGCAACTTTAAAAATCAAGGCAACTACATTATTGTCTTTTTTTTCTTCTTCCAAAATAAGTTCGTCTTTCTTCTCTTTATTTTACAATATGTAAGAGGTGATGATAGCTTTGTGCATATTATCAGTTTCTTTTGAAGATGAATATTTATTACTATCTTGCTTCTAATAGTCAATTGTATTGATATAATGGCTTTGGCTTGATGTTGTTGCTAGTAGTATATGAGTAATCTCACTACAATCTCTTGCTTAGTGCCTTTATTTGGTGCAATAGCCACAATATTTTTATTTTGTCTATGGAATAAAAAATTTGCCATTTGATCTCTTGTGTTTGTTATCTTAAATTTTAGAATTTCAAAACAACTTTTAAAATTGGACTACCAAAGCTTCTTTATTTGCTTCTTTAAATTTGTTGTTTTTTCTTGTCTTCTATAGTTCAAGCTAATTGGTAAGATTATCAAAGGTGGCCATGTCTTGTAAATTTGAGATATTTTTGACAAAATTATTGAAGCTTGATAATACAAAATTAAGAACTTATTTGACTATCATAATATTAGACAGTTGTTTTCTTATGTCGCTAAGGGAGTTGACTAAGATCTACATTTTGGTAAAGAATTCTTTCACACTTTTTCCTTCTTTAACTTATAAGTTGAAGAAGTTGACTTAAATTACTAATTTTTTTATATTATTTTTGATATTATATTTTGATTGCAAGTACTTCCAATATTCTTTTGTACAAGAAATATTGAGAATAAAGAAAAAAATATTATCTCTTATTGACTACTATATACTGGAGAAGGCGCATTTTTTAAGTTTTCTAAGGATGCTAAGATCTCTCAAATTGAATAGCTCAATAAAAATTTATCCAAATGTTAAGTCTTTCGCTAATTTTTCTACAAGCTTTCATAGATCCTTTCTTTTCAAGCTTGTTTAAACTTTGAATTTTCACATTCTATAATTATGAGAGCCTAACAACTTATATTGAAAGGAAATATGGGTTTATATTGATGTCTTCTTCTAAATTGATAAAGATAAACTATCTTCTATTGCAAAATTAAGGATCCATATCAGCTATGTTTCAATTTATTGTTGTCTTCTTATGTCTATGTCTATCATTTGATCTATTCAATGTAATTAACTTCTTTCCAATATTCAACAATGGAAGAAAGATATTAGTTGAATAACCTTGCTTTAATACCATGTATAAATTTAATTAAAATTAAGTAACTTTTTATTTAGTAAAAATAAAGGCAATTATATTAATATAAATATTAAGAATATTACTTGGCTAAAACTTGATGGACCTTTCTTTTTGTGGCAGTGAGTCCTAACTTTCCTACAATGGTAAAATCTAATATTAAAAGTAAGTGTAAATTGTTTTATATAAGTGAGAGTAACTATTTGACTAATTTAATTGATTCTTCTAATTTTAAGCAAAGATTGTAGCTACTTTTGAGAATTCAACATTTAAAAACAAGAAATTGACAACTCAAAATTTAATTATTCTAGAATGATTTACCAAGTGAATAAATATGGATAAGAATCATTTTTTTTCTTTGATTTCATCATATTTGAGTTTTATTTTACTACCTCTAAAGTTTGATTCTTATAAGTTACAATATATCTTTATTACAAATTCCTTATTATATTGTTATCTTTAATATAGTTTGTTTATTCATATCTAAAAAGATATCATTTGAACTTTTATTCTTAAATAAGATTTAGGAATAATTAAATTCTGAAAAAAATACTAATAATGTTAATGAAATTAAAAGAAATTTTCTTAAGTGTACAAATTTTTATAGATTCTAGTATACTTATTTTTTCTCAATAATAATTCAAATGATTTCAATGACTTATATATATATATATATATATATATATATATATATGTGTATGCACAAAGTATTTACTTTCTATATTTTTAAACAATGATTTATATTTTTCTTCATGAAAAAATTGTTATTTCCTAATAAATAAATACTTTATTGTTTTTAGTCTCATCAATTTTGGTGACTCATAATTTTTCATCAATAATTATAATTTAGTTATATATATATATATATATATATATATATATATATAAAGTATAAAAAATAAATTTTTCATGTCTATTTTTATTACAATGCTACAAGTTCCAAAAACTTATTTCAACTTATTTTTAATAAGAACTCTTATAAAAACTTATTTTTTCAAAAAAGTGAAAATATTTTTGTGTACTCACAACCAACTGTTGAATTCAGAGCATTGGGTTCATAGCGGTGAATGATTTCTTCCACAAGGCACGTAAAGTATAAACAGTTTTTTTTTTAAGGAATGGTTTTTCAGTATTCTAGACTTTTCAGTATTCTAAAACTGAAAAGTCGGTCCCACTATTCGATCTTTCTTTGAATGTGGTGACGTGATACCTCTACACATTATTGAGGCATCTACATTGAAGCTTGGTAAATCTATGTCTTCTTTGCATTTACAGTTATAGGTTGATTCACGTTGATTCTAGTTTACATGCGGGGAGGAGGAGCTGGTCGTCTTAATCAGCGCCCCACTCCCAACGCTAATCTGATAAAATTTTAGTCGCAGTCATCATGTTCCAGTATCACTAATGCTGTGAAATGAGCTCCAGGTTGGTTGGTATTCGACAAAGACCACCGAGCTACAAAAGCAGTAGATTACATGCTAACCTTGGAATGTGGTATCTAGAATAGTAGTTGCGTACATACTTACATTGGATCTGATCTGATCCGAGCTATTCGTTCTGCTAATGGCAATGTTGATTGAGCTCCGGGAGAGTCTGAACCATAGTCAACAGATTGGTACTGATAAAAATGATCAGTTGGTGTAACGGCTGTGAATTGTGGACGCTCTTCAATGGTTGCACTGGAGCGTTGACGATTGAGTACTCGGCTTTGGAAAAAGCGGGGTGGGACATTCGGAATTAAAGCACAGTGTTGAAACAGGTCGTTGTTGGGCTATTGAAACAGGGTGTTGGTTGAATTCCGTTGACAGGTCCGATTCGGTTCAGTAGAATTGGTCCTACTCGAATGTTGGTCAGTGTTTTCCCCTTTCAAGCGGCGTTGTAGGTGACATCAGACTCAATGACGGCACTGTGCTGCTGGTTGTAGTGGTACTAGCAGGACTCCTGCCATGCAAACATTGTAGCACACATTCGTCAGAAATTTGAGGCTGGATCTTTAACAAGTTTGAATGTGAAGCCCAAACTGCAAAAGTGTGAAGGAGATTAGGATCCTGGGAAGAGTTTTGGCTTGGTAATGTACCTAGTAAAGAGAGAACCTTCCTCCATGGTCGACAAATCCCCTGTGGATGAGATCCTGCCACTACGTCCTAACGGCGAGATATTGCGGTTGTTCGACTTCGATTTGAAATGGATGATGACGCTGGAGCTTGGAATTGAGCTGTCAGGCGTGTCACCAGTCACGCTAGAAGTATTCGACTTCAGCCTGTTTTTGGCGTCCGTGTGCCATTGTCGCAAAGCTCGCTCCACATGCTTCGACATAACCGCTTTCTTGTAGCTGCTGCCCATCTGGCAGTCACAAGTACGCAGTTCTATGTCAATGATCATTTCTAAGACGTACATAATCATAGCCTGTGCGACAAAATCCAAATATTTGTATGGTTCAAAGCAACGGCATACCTGAGTAACAAGGGCGTAGAGTGGTAGTGTGCTGTAACTGGAAAAGAGCAGCACAGCCAACCCGATGGCAAGACGACCCCCAACAAACGCTTTGTTCTTCTCCAAGAGACAAGTGTGGAAGCCAAATTGCCACTGCCGCCATGAAAAAATTTGGTTAATTAGTGTGAAATCACTTTGGCTAGATAAAATCATAAACGTAATCAAAATTGCAGATAAATTCAAACGAAAATCGAGCAACTCTGACCAACATGTCTTGAAATGAGATTAACCATGGAAAACGAAACGTACCACATGCCAGATGAAGGTGGCAAATTCGAAGGCAGTCTCGAAGAGAACCAAGTGAATGACATGGAGGAGAAGCCTTGGTCGATTGAACCAGAAGAGCTGATCGCGAGGCTGGAGCAAGATTGGCACCAAATGTACTGGGACTGGCCTGTCTCTATCGTTCTTATTCATTTCCAACGCTAACGTTGAGATAACGTGCTGCATCTTCGTTCCTATGACGAGTATAATCTGCCATTTGATGATTCAATCACTCACATGTCAACACCAGAAATCATCTCAACTTCATGCTTTTTGCATCATGCGGTTTATCTTCGCTAAAATAATCATCGGCAGACTGATTTATTATGCATCGTTTGAGAGAGGTATCAGACACTCACCACAACGGGCACTAACGAAGTCCAAAAATACAACTGGGTTCCTGCACATTGATTTACCACAGTTGAACACTATGAGGTAATGTGGCACCTAATGTGAACGAAACAAACCGTAAAATGATCTGATGCTCTAACGGTACAGCAGAACGTGGTTCAAATCCTTGTGGTGGGATTCTTACCATCTATATTTAAGATCCATATACTGAGAACACAAAACCACAGCCACCAACTGCAAGCAAAATGATAAAGAATGTCAGCTCAATTGTCGATCAAATGTTTCTGCAATCAACTGCGAAGTAGTTTAAATATGATTGATGTCTACAAGAATTTGCAATTACCTTATGCCTACAATGGTTTCGAATTCGTCTTCCATGGTCCGCAGCATATATGCGTGAAAATCGTACACATCTTTAAGACGATGTGTCTGCAAGTGCACAGCCGTAACACCCACGCGTTAGAATCCCGACTGGTGACAGATAAAACGGTAACGCTTTAAACAAAATTGATTTCAGCGTGTACGTACCGTGATGAAGCTGAGTCGTAGAGTCAGGTAGTCGGAGCGAGGGATATAAAATTGCTGGAAGAAGCAAACCTGTTGCAATGCATTTCAGGCACACTTTAAGTACCATTGAAAATCAATACAGTTTTGAACGTGGATTGACTTAATTCTGAAACTCAATAATTCGTTGCCCAGCAGGAGCACTTACCATCCAGACAAGAAGTCTGGTTCTGCTCCACGGCCTCGATGTGTGGTACCTAACGAATGTCGACTGCCGTTGAAGAAATATGTTGTGTGCAAGTTCTGCGCCAGGACACACAAACCATTCATCTTAATAAAAAAAAAAAAAAAAAAAAAAAAAAAAAAAATGATGCGTGGATTGCTGAAAACACGGTGTTCCGAGCTAGCTATGAATTCTGAGCACATCAAACAAACTCTAGCCGATAAGAAATTGACGAGCCAACTAGATACTTCACTAAGAAAACGTCTAACCTGGCATTGTGACTCTCCGTGATGCGTCGTGCGCTTCGTTCTCCCACACTCTCCAGCGATAGACCTGATGTAAAAAAATTCATCCAATTTCGTCGAGATAGTTAGAAGCAGGTCCAGAGGGAGCCAGGAAATTTGCCATCAGGGAACTTGAAAGATGTGCACGAGTGACCGTGATTACCATGCACCTAAAACAGCACCACCAACTCCTAAATCCCTCTTTCATTATATAGATGGCATTCCCTCCTAGAAAGAAAGAATACAGGCATCTTGTCATTGAAAATACAAGCTGAGAGATGCGACAGGACATGTAGGTGCTAGTGGATTTACGGAATTACCTTAGTGAAGGCAAGCAGCATGGTCAGACAGGAGTACACCACATGAACCAATGCTAGAACAACGACAAAGATGTGAAGCTGATGAATGATGTTGGGTGACACAAATGGCTCGTAACCCTGCACCGTGACAAGTACAGTAAGAATCAGGAGCATACTTGAGGTTATGAACATCTTAAGGGATGAAATTAAGTTTATAAGTTTATTCATTTACAGTGCGCACAGGAATTGTGACAGCAACTTTCTTGCGAGGAATATATGGAGGGAATTGGTACCTCTTTACAAGTATTGGTTGTGGATGTCTCCGAAGCCAGAAGTCTCCGGCTATGTTCGGAACTCGGAGGCGCTATCACATCAGTGGGTCTCTCGGAAAGTTCGCAAGGAGTCCATTTGTTGAAAGCGGAGGATGGAACGCACAATTTAGACACTGGATCTTGCAATATAGTGATGGTCAACGAAATAAATCCCATCAACATCAATTCTGCACAAATCCCGTTTAATCAGAGTGAGAAACCACGCATGCAATGGTCGTTCTCGTCGCAGCAGTTACAGATCTATCAAGTTCACGCTAAAGCAGAAATGTTCGGTGAAATTTCACATGTTGGAAACTTCTTCTGAAATTTCTGTCAAGTTCCCATTTGTTATCTTAATAATGAATGACATTTTTTTTCCACTAAGACCTGAAAGCTCCATAAGAGAGACGGTGGCAAGTGTTGCATCAGGAACTCACCGTCTTTCATCTTCTGTAAGGCCGCAAGAAGAGGTTTCCGCTTGGTCTCCCGTAGATACTGCAAGCAACAAGAGTAACGCAAGTGATAATTAAATTCATGTTCGCAGTCTTTAACAATGCACATCCACAGTACTTGCTGTCTGAAGAGAATAAAATTCTTTCGGGTGTGAGGTCGCAAATGTGCGCAGCGATAGTACTGCATAAGCCTTGCAGAGCCCTCAACGAATACCGAAAGTAGAAAAGAGTGGAACGCTGCCATCCACGTACATGACCAAGCGAGTGCAACAAGCGCTCGAAGGCAATGGAGATAATGACGAAGACCGCAGCTACCGAAGCCAGCGCCCAGGTGGGCATGTATTCCAACGTTCTCGCAGTGGTATTGGTATCACCAGCCATGATGATATTCAACTTGCGCGACTAGTTTTCTACAAATTTGCTGCTGTCTTTGTGTTGTCCACCTTCCGATCAGCTCGCCTTAAAACTGCTTTATAGATGTGACAAGTTGTGAGGCTACCAACTCCAGCTAATCGCTAAGAGATTCTTAGCTTTCATAAAACTCGTGTATCTCTTGCTGTAGACATAAAGTTTCTGAAGGATCCAGACAGCTAGTAATCTCATGGGGATGTTTCCACTCTCGCCTGCGCCTCCACTCGCACCACCTTCCTTCTCGCAATTGGCTGAGTTGTCGTTCCGCACCCAACTAACTGGACTAGCGAAATCTGCTGCGCACCAAGCGCTATTATATTCACAAGAAGACCTTGTCCTTCAAGTAAGGCTGGCAGCGCAGAGAGTGCGTCCCAAATCCAACGCGTAAGACCCTAAGCTCTCATGACACCCCAGTTACGAAAAAATTAGAAGAAAACAGCACACGTATCCATGCCCGGGATGAAAGGTAACGCTGTAGAAACTTCGGCGAATTCTTGAACTGCACACTGGAGCAGTGAGTATACTGCAGGTAGAAACTCCAGGGATGGTCCACGAGCTTCAAACCTAGAAAAGGTCGACAGATTTTCCTCAGCTCAGTCGCACCCGCGACGCGCAAACCAAGACTTGTCTATGTAGAACTCATGACGCAGGTCCACAGTGGGGAGTCAATGAACAAGTCGGGAGACTTGCTCGCCACAGCTTAATTTCTCGGACCGACAACGATCATCACTATGAAAGCGCCTCGGTACCATATATCGCCCTGGGCTTGATTGGTTCAAAGCCGAGTGGTGGTGGGGTTGGCTAAGAACTTTCACTCCCGCCCAAACTCTGACACCTGATTCGCATCGAAATGCAAAATTATTTCCCAATATCCAAATCACTGGGTTGCTAATAAGCGAGAGAATCGTGATCGTGCGTTTGGATGACGACCAAACTGGCAACTTAGCTATTCAGAATAAAATGGGTTTAGGCACAATTTGAATAGATGGACCAGTAACCAGAAATTGAATTTAGCACGAGGAAAACATACCTATGAAAACGCTAGGTTCCCAAAAGTTCTTCCAAATGTTTGTTCTTCACTTTCCGAGAATTCAAATGACACAGTACCCTCACTGGTCTCACAAGGTCTTTAAAATTGTGAATTACACCAGGACTGTAAGAATTAAGATATATGCTCAATTGATGGCATGTCATGTCTTCCATGTTACTAAAGTTGGCATACCTTTATTCGAAACTATTCGCAAAATGTCTTCGGTTTGAGGCATGACCCAGAAATTCTAGGTGTAAAGTTAGCATCGTCCAGCGACAACTCAACCATGCCAAATACAGCGAAGTGCTTCCAAAGTTCATATCTATATTCAGCTCCATCTCACGTTGCTGGTGGGCTTTCTGGGGATCTGCTTCTCTGGTCAGGTGACCGCTCATCACCCGGACAGATCCCAGAACACTAGTTCCAGATGTCTGGAAAAATCCATGTCTCGAGGAAAGATCACATTCGCTTGCAAGTCCGAATTCCCTCTCCACATCGCATGGTGTTGTTAATTTTATATTATATCCATAGGAAGAGAGTGAATGGCTGAATTCCGTTACGACGCGTAACAACGCTTGTGCTGTGAGTTTCCATCAATGTCGATCTCCTTGGGTACTCGTGGCACGCGAGCTCCCAAAGTCCCGGAGAAACTTCAGACGTTGTTTCTATTTCTCTCGCTGTACCGCCAGGGCCCGGGACTATAGGAGACTTCTTACAGCCCATTTTTAGTTGTGGTCACACCAGCCTACCCCATGTGGATCTTTCACTGGATTGCTGTATCGTGTGCTCCTGGTAAGCATACGAGGTTGATTATGTCGAGGAATGTGAAGATTAGGTGGTTCTGGGGTAATTTCTCTACGAATTCTGTACAGGCACTAAACCGTAACAGTTCTACCAGGGTCGACAGGTGTTACGCAACGGGCAAAATCTTCCCTGTGGATCGATTTTTAAGAACAGTATAAATTATTAACTTTCGAGGCGACAAGATGGACGACAGCGATCGATCGTAAAGCCTGAACTTTCTACACGTCCACGCTGGTTCTGCTGGGTGAGCAAACGCTGGCAGATCCTGCACTGACCGACGATGATTCACGATTGATAATTAAGACTTGGAGAGCTTGCTCTGAGTTCCACTCATCCACAACACTTGTCCATCAACGGACGACAGAAGACCTTTCGACCCAGAAGTCCTTCTGAAAGTGATTCTCAAGGAAGCACCCATGGAATCTCAGCTCTTCATAGCCGCACAAATGGTCGTGGTCCCGTATCTCTCTATGCTAGAAATTAAGATCCAGTACTATGTCTATCAACATGGAGTCTTTTGTCACCCATTCCAGTAGAAAGTTTTTGCTTTGCAATCATGGATCATGGTTGAGCATTTCTTTCATGCTCGGTTTAAAAACACGGCATGTTGATTTGCGCTCCCGTTCCAGCTGGTTTTAGAGCTGCAAAGCTGAACTGCCTTAACTCCTTAGCACACTGACATCCAACAATGAATGAGTGTGTTCTATAATAAGAATTTGGCTAAAAGACAACACATCATTACAAATTAACGACCAAGTGATTGCAGATTGGATTGCAACTACTAAGTTCCTTCACAACGTCCTGCCTCACAAGACTGCATCGTCTGTTGGATTTGCATTTCTAACTCCTTACCCTGGAACTGTACCTCGTCCTAATTTTCTCTATGGATTATCTACTCCTCTATACCTTTCCTCGAAAGGTGAAAAATCATTCCTCTCAGTAAATGATTACTTTTATTATTGGGTTGCACGATGTAGATTTTTCCTTTTCTTCCCACCTGTCTAAAATTTGTTTGTTGGTATTAATAGAATTGTTGTTGATATTGTTTATCTTCCTCAAATTCTTCAGCATTTTATAAAATATTGTACACTAATGTACTTTCATCCCTTTAACCATTGCAACAGGGAAATTCAGTACTTGTAATCTATATATTTATTTATTTATTTATTGTTAATAGTGGCATATAATAGTTTCACATAAATTTATTTAGTGTTTGATTTATGAGAACATATTGTGGATCAATCATCTGAATATTTATCATATGGTTGTGTAATGGAAATACAAGAAGGAGCACAACTTTTAATTGGACCAATTTATAACTTGTTTTAAAAAAAATTGCAATATTACATCAACACATCATTAATAATTTAGATATTCTTTATTGGACATTTAAACTTACCACCAAAAACACTTATTTTGTTTATCAATGTAAAAGATGGTTCACTACAAATCAATGTTTATAATATAAAATTTTAATTTATTACCAATATATTTTTGACTATTAGAACAGGACCAAGAAAAAGTATTCTTATAGGTTGATTCAAAATAGAACTGTAATTATTTTTTAAAATAAAAATAAAATAAGCCAATATGAAAATATCATTTTTATATATGGTACAGACATTTGAATGTAATAGTATAGTATATGGACTTACAAATATTAATTTAATATTTTAATGTATAAAAAATTTATACTTAAAGAATATTTAAACAACTTTACGGTCAATTATAGATAACATCTTTATACATTTCAAAAGACATTGTGTTGATTATACATGAAATCATTTATATTTTTTAATTAATTATTTTACTCCAAATCAAAAATTTATGTAATTTTTAGGTATTTATGTTTTTAGATTATTCAAACTTGTTAAAATCTTCTTATTACATGAATTTTTTTTATAAACAAGAAATCTAATTTAATTTTGATTTTTTAAATCATCAAAAACTAAATTATGTAAAAATTAATACGAAATTTTATCATAAATAAGAGCTAAGAATTTGAGATATTGATCATATGACCTACTTCAACAATATCTTACTTCAAAATGACAATAATATTCATTAGTAATATATTTAATTACAAATTATCTAATCTTTAATAAAAAAGGACTTAATTTAACTAACTTATATATTTATTTATAAATGTATATCATTCTGTTATTCTCTGTAAAATATTCAATTTATTACAAAAAAAAATCTCAGATTTTGTTTTAAAATGTTTTGCGAAATTCTTGGACATTCAAAAAAAATTATTAAATCAAGGACACAAGTTGTGTCTAAGTTGTTATAACAATAATTTTAAATCATTCCAATTTAATGAGAATAATTTTAAATCTGTTTCTATGTTAGTTTAAACTATTAATAAGATGATTTTATAGATTTCATATTATTTATAGATATTTTTAAAATTATATTAAATATTAACTTCAAAATTTATATTTAAGTTATATTTACCATTATTGAGTAGAAATTTTGTAGATCAATATTAGTAAAAGCACAACTACATAAAAACTAATTAATTAGTTTTTTACAACATAAAAAAATTACAATTCATCTAGAAGGAGATACATTTCACTTGCAAGAAACTTAAAGTCAATTTAAAAGTTATGTAAATGATTATTAAAAATCTAATTTTAAATTTTAAAATATTTAAAATATTACTAAAATTAATATTTTAAAATTAAGTTTATAAAATTACTAATTAAGATTCTAAAATTACTTGTAATTGCTTGAAAGGTTCTAGGAATTTTTTTAAATATTTAGAAACTTATAGAATTATTTAAGAATTTTTCTAATATTTTAGAAGCTTTTGTAAGATATTATCAATTCTTTAAAGATATTTTTTAACTCTTAAAACCTCATATAGAAGCTTCTACAACACTTATTTGTTATAGTATGAGCAAAAAAATAAGACAAAAACTAGTAGTCTTATCAAATTATACATTAGAGCAACCTATATATATATATATATATTATTTGAACTTATTTCTAATCTGATATTTTTTTTTTCTTGTCTAAAAAATTATGTATTAATTTTTTCTATGAAAATACATTATATAGATATAGATGTAATAAAAATATTTACCAACAAAAAAAACACAAATATTTTTCATAACTTTAATAATATAAATTTTATAATATTTTATTTATTATAATCTTTATTATTTGAAAAAATAACATAAGTGATTTTTAAAAAACTAATTCTGACTTACATGAATATATAAAATTTATGTATGTAAATAAATATATCAAAAATTATTTTCAAAATATTCGATAATAATTAGCCAATTTTAAATTTTAAATATTAAATTTAATATATTTAATCTATTTAAAATCTAAATATTAAAATTTATAAAAATAGAATTTTTAAGTAAAATTAAGTTTAATATAAAGTTAAGTATTGAAGTTTAATATTCAGTATTAACATAACTTAAATATTAATATTAAGTTAAGTATTTAAGTTTAATATTAATTTAAATTTTTTTAATACAAATTAATACTAAATTTTTAAATTTAATCTATTTAATCTATTTAAAATCTAAATATTAAATTTAATCTATTTAAAAGATCGTTAATATTACTATTTACTTAATATGAAGATATTTTTAATTTTATAAGATAATTTCTATATTACAAAAATTAAACATATTATAAGCTAAAAAATTAATTTATAACTAAAATAAATTTAGAATTGAATTGTTCCAAATTTATACAAGGAAGATTCATAAGTCTTTTTCCTTCTTTGCTTATATAATAGCAATTAAATCTTGTAGAAGCTTTTAGAGAAGGTTTTAAGAACTAAAAAATATCTTTAAAGTAATGAATCTTTAACTTCAAAAGGATTAGGTATGGTCTTAAACAACTATGTAACTTTTTAAAATATCATATACAATCCATTAAAATTTCAAAATGAAAATTAAATTTTATAATTTAATATTTTAGATGAATAAAAAATTAATTCTAATAAAATAAATATGATTTA